GATTGCCCTTGTGGAGGGAGAGTGCGAGAAGTTGACGAGGGTTGGTATGGAGTTGCAAGAACCTATCAAGACACAATTGATAACTTTGCTACGAGAGTATGTCGACATTTTTGCTTTCACCCCGGAGGACTTGGTAGGCATTGATCGCGAGGTGGCCGAACATAAATTGAACATTGACCCAAAGATGAGGCCTGTCAAGCAGAAGCGTCGACATTTCGGAGCAGAGTTGGACATCATTATGGGAAATGAGGTAGAGAAGATGATCCAAGCAGGTCATGTTAAACCCATTCAATTCCCGGAATGGCTCTCGAATCAAGTGATGGTGAGGAAGGCAGAGAACAAGTGGCGTATGTGCACGGACTTCCGTGACCTTAACAAAGCATGTCCTAAAGACCATTACCCTTTGCCACGCATTGATCAACTTGTAGATTCGACGGCGGGATGCGAACTATTGAGTATGATGGACGCGTCACAAGGGTACCACCAGATACCGTTGGCAGTAGAAGACCAGAAAAGAGTAAGCTTTGTTACGTCCAAGGGGACCTATTGTTACGTCGTCATGCCTTTCGGTTTGCGTAATGCGGGAGCGACCTATCAAAGAATGGTGGATAAGATGTTTTCGAGACAATTAGGCAGAAATATGGAGGTATACGTAGACGACATGTTAGTGAAGAGTCGTCGAGCAGACGACCATGTGGGAGATTTGAAGGAGACTTTTGAAACCTTAAGAAGGTATAAGATGAAGCTAAACCCCGCAAAGTGTAAGTTTGGAGTCAAATCAGGGAAGTTCCTTGGATACATGGTCACCGAACGTGGCATTGAGGTGAATCCAGAGAAGGTACGGGCGGTACTTGAGATGCAGCCGCCTAAGACAATAAAGGAAGTGCAGATCCTCACTGGACGATTGGCGGGACTTAGTCGGTTTATAGCACGCGCGGCCGAACGAAGTTTTCCATTCTTTCGAACTCTGCGAAAAGGAGCTCGATTTGAATGGTCACCACAAGCGCAAGAGGCCTTTGATAAGATGAAGGAATTTTTGGCTTCACTACCACTGCTCACCAAGCCAGACCCAACTGACGTGCTAATTTTATATCTCTCAGTGGGCGAGGTGGCAATCAGCTCAGTTCTGTTGAAGGAAGATGGAGGGGGGCAGCAACCTATCTATTACGTAAGTAAATTGTTACAAGGGGCTGAGATGAAGTACACGGAGGTCGAGAAGGCAGCCTTGGCTCTTATTATTACGGCTAGGAGGTTGAGACCCTACTTCTTATCACATGGGGTCGTGGTACGCACAAATTTCCCTTTAAATGAAACGCTAGGTAGACCATCAGCTTCTGGTCGAATGGTTAAATGGGCGGTTGAGCTCGGAGAATACAATGTTAGTTTCGAGGCAAGAAAAGCTATTAAGGCACAGGCATTGGCGGATTTTATTCGGGAGGGCACAATGGTTGCGAAGCCCAGTGTGTGGGAGGTATATGTCGACGGATCCTCAACTAAAGTTGGAGCGGGGATTGGCATCCTAATCTTGCCACCAGGAGGAGAACCACTAGAATTTGCGGTGAAGCTCACTTTCAGAGCCTCAAATAATGAGGCAGAATATGAAGCGCTATTAAAAGGAATGCAGTTGGTGGCGAGTGCCGGGGCTAGGAAAGTTGTCATACACTCAGACTCTCAGTTAGTGGTCGAGCAGATGAAAGGGGATTATGAAGCCCGGGAAGAAAGAATGGGGAAATATGCAGATGAGGCAAGAGCGTTGGCTAAGAGTTTTGAGTCATGGCAGCTGGTGCAGATTCCACAGGCTGAGAATGGGAGAGCGGACTTGTTGTCTAAGGTGGCAGCTTCACTCGTAGATTGCAGATCCCGCTCGGTTACTCTGATGCAAATGGGCTCCAGTATCGCGGAGGATGTACTGGAGTTAGATGAAAGGGAAGATTGGAGGAGTCCCATCTTAAGTTGGTTAGCCCGGGCCGAGATGGGACAACAAGATGTGCGGGGTGATAAGTTGGGTCGACGGGCACTGCGGTTTTTTGTTCAGGAAGGGGTGCTCTTCAAGAGGTCATATTTAGGGCCTCATTTAAGGTGTGTTTCTGAAAAAGAAGGAGATTATGTATTAAGGGAGATACATGAGGGCTGCTGCGGGGATCATATCAAGGCGCGAGCTTTGACGAGCAAGGCGCTAAGGGCAGGATACTTCTGGCCAACGATGAGAGCCATGGCGAGAGAGCTAGTACAAAAATGCATCAATTGCCAGCAACACGGACAGCTCATACATGTCCCCGCGGAGGAACTGGTGCCAATGAGTTCGCCTTTACCGTTTGCCCAGTGGGGGATGGATATAGTGGGGCCTTTTCCGCAAGGCTCTGGACAGAGGAAGTTTTTGCTAGTTGTTGTGGACTACTTTAGCAAATGGGTGGAGGCTGAGGCGATGGCCAAGATTACCGAGGAGAAGGTCATTAAATTTCTATTTACTAATGTTTGCTGTAGATATGGCATCCCGCGGGTTATAATTTCTGACAACGGCCCGCAGTTCCGAGGAAAGAAAATTATGGCTTGGTGTGAAGAGATGGGCATAAAGCAACATTTCGCGTCGGTGGCGCATCCTCAGGCAAATGGACAGGCAGAAGTGGCCAACAGGACCATATTACGTGGGTTGCAAACTCGGCTTGGTAGGGCTTCTGGAGCGTGGGTAGATGAATTGGATACGGTCCTTTGGTCGTACAGAACCACGCCAAGGTCAACGACAGGAGAAACGCCCTTCAGCCTAGTATATGGGATGGAAGCTGTGATCCCGGTGGAAATCGGCCTGCATTCTCAAAGGACAGCTGCTTTCGAACCAGAGAAGAATGAGGAACTGGTTAGGGAGGCACTGGAACTCATTGATGAAGCTCGAGATCAGGCTTGGATGAGGACCGTGCAGTACAAACAGAAAATGTGCCTAGCCCACGCTAAGAAGGTCAAAAAGAGGGATTTCCAGGTGGGTGATCTTGTTTGGAGGAGAGCTGATGTGTTAAAGCATGTTGGGAAATTGGAGCCAAATTGGGAGGGCCCATATATTATTCATAAGGTGTTTGCTGGGGGGGCTTATGAGCTGAAAGATCCGGAGGGTAAGGTCTTCCCTAGACCTTGGAATATTGCCAACCTTAAAAAGTATTATTGTTAGTTTTGAAGTCCTTTTGAATTATGTTTAAACCTGATGCGTTGAATTAGTGAAATTTCGAGTCTTTGGAGTTATTTTTCGAATAAAGTGTTGAGAACCTGCATAGAATCGTTTCCAGGTCTTGATTTCTGGATTTCGACTAAAGTTATTTATGATTGGCGCATGCCGCGTTTTTGAAAATATGGATGATTTTTTCCTCTCACCCAGTATAAATTGCTTAGTATAATGCGCGATGAGGTGACGGCTTAAGGCCGGACTCTTATGAGTTCGGGTGCTGTTTGAAATGGTGACGGCTTAAGGCCGGACTCTTATGAGTTCGGGTGCTGTTTGAAATGGTGACGGCTTAAGGCCGGACTCTTATGAGTTCGGGTGCTGTTTGATATGATGATGGCTTAAGGCCGGACTTTTAGGAGTTCGGGTGCTGTTCAAAGGGATAACGGCTTAAGGCCGGGCTCATTTGACCGGGCGCTGTTCACGTGTGGTCGCGATCCCGGCCTGGATAATGCTCTGGCATGGGATCATTTCCGTGTAACGAGCAGGTGAAAGAGTAGTTAATGTTCGCTCGGTTCCTCACAAGACCGAGCAGACGAACGAGCCTCATAATTTGCCTATGAACCGAGCACAGTCTTAAGCGTAGTGCTTGCTCGGTTCCATATGTGGTTTGCCTGGATAATGCTTGCTCGGTGCTTGCTCGGTTTCAAGCATAGTGCTTGCCTATGAACCGAACAGCTGAGTTGCCTATGAACCGAGCACGGTCTTAAGCATAGTGCTTGCTCGGTTCCATATGTGGTTCGCCAAGATAATGCTTGCTCGGGATTTGCTCGGTTTCAAGCATAGTGCTTGCCTATGAACCGAACAGCTGAGTCGCTTATGAACCGAGCACGGTGATGTGCATAGTGCTTACCCGCAATGTAGGTTGGTGGGAGCACACGTTTGTTCGGTTTTGCTTACGTACCGAACGGGATGATGTGCGTAGGTGTCTGCTCGGTTTCTTGGAAGACAAAGCGGATGACACTTCGCGAATTATTATCCATGGACGTCAATTAAACGCGCTTCACGTAGTTAATGGCTCGGTTTCGCTTACGTACCGACCGAGCAGATGTTTAGGGGTATTTGCTCGGTTTCTTATGAACCTCCTCTGATTTGTTCGGTTTCCTACCTGGATACGATGTGGTTTCGCTTATAAGTTATGTACAAGCGCTCGGTTCCATTCGCCTACGTAATTTAATCATGGGATGGTTTCGATCGTGTGACGTGCAACAAGTTTATAAAAGCGAAGACTTAACATGATATTAGAGAAAACATTCGATAGCAGTGCACATTAAGGCATTACCCTGAATCGGGCCACAAAATCATGATTCTTCAAGTAACAACATATTAGAGATTAATGCAACAACCATAACGGTGACAAAAATAGAGTTGGGAGGATAAGCCAAAGTCTGAGAAAACCATAAAATTAGACGACGGAACCCTAATTAGCGGTGACATTGTGCTCGGTTTGCAAGGGTATATCATTCTCCACGGTCTGATGCGTCGGCTCGGCATTAGACGGCTCAGTGTTGAATTCGGAAGGGATGACCTCGGCGTCCATCTCGGTCTGTTTTTCTCCAGCATCGGCCTCAGCATCCGCCGGTTGCTTAGCCGCTTCAATTCTTTTTTTCTCCTCAAGAACCTGCATAGTATTCTCAAGAACCGACTCCCACCATGGATAATCAAGTGCGAGGCTAGAATCCCCAGCCCATCCTTCCGGATTGGGAAGTCTTTTGATCAACTCGGCTTCATCATAGCCGTCTACGTTACCCGTGGTTCGGGCTTGTTCGAGAGCCCGGGTAGCCCCGATGAACAGGTATTGCAGTGCGGCCGGCTTGAGTTGGGCCAGGAACGGCATCGAGTCGTGGTATAGGTCGAGCAGTTCCTCCCTAAACACCTCGAGAAACCGGCTACTACAGGGCGATCTAAGGAGGCTGTCGAGAGTCTCCTGTTGGGCCGCGGCCACTTTGACGGTTGTTTCCTGCACGGCCATTTCGACTTTCGACTGGAGTGTGATGATCTCTTGTTGATGGTGGGTAGCGGCTAGCTCCAATGATTTGATTTTTTCGTTCGCCTTTTTCAGCTCGGTCTCCAATTTCTTGCTTTTCGTAATTTCGGCTTCGAGTGTCGACTTTGCTTTGCGGTGCTCAGCGGCAGAAGGAGCCTCACCAGTTATGGCCTCATGGAGAAAGCCAGCAAGACCAGAGTTCAGCTGTCAATGAAGCAATTATGGTTGATATACATGCTGCAATATCAAACGCTTGTATTACAGAATATATTTACCTCTGCCAGACGCTTCATGCAATATTCAGCCCGGAGCTTATTATCTCCGCCCCAACGATCGGCTTCATTTCCGGGAAAGATGGAGAGCAGGTACGAGGATTGTGCCAAAGGGTCCGGGTGAGTAGCAAAGGCTGAAGGTTGTGGGATGGAGGATGGCGTGTTCATCTTGGGCGGAGGGTTTCCCAATTCGTTTGGCCCTTTACGCTTTCGGGAGCTGGGCACAATTTTCTTCAAAAGATCAACATCCGATAGGTGACCGGGGGATGGAGGTCGGTCTGCGGTGCTTTTTCCGATGGAAGAAGGCCGCGCTCGTTTTCGTTTCTCCATCGGTTTGGTCACGGCACCGGTCACAAGCTTATCTGTACACGCATAACAAATTCATTAGTGCATAACATTTAGTATTAAACCTGATACAAGCATGTTCGTCACAGCAAATGTATGTATATAGGGCATTTATACCTAAGTCAAAGGGTTCCACTCTTTTATGTGTGAGCTTGTAATATGAACGGAGCTTATCTGAGATAGTTAGCTTCTTGATGTCGTAAGGGGTTTTATTCCACTCGGCTATAAGTTCATCGTACTGGGCCACTTTCTTCGATGGCCGTTCCTTTTCGATATGGGTCCGCCATTCCGGTGTAAACTTAAAAGTGTCATGGGGCGGTTTCACAAAGAAGAAGCGGGTTCTCCAGTGATTGATCTTATTGCTTAGGCGGCTAAGGAAATTAGCCCCTTTTCGGGTACTAAGATAGTAGGATCCGCTTTGGTGTACATGAAGGCCGTAACAGTAGAAGAAGAAATCGGGATCCAACTTTCCGAAATGGTAGTAGCTAAGGATGGTATAGGCTATAAGAATTCGAATACTATTGGGCACTAGTTGGTTAATGGGAAAGTTATACAGGCTGGTTAAGGTGAGCAAGTCGGATCTAACGGGGAATCTAAGGCCGCTTTTCACTTGGTCTACGAAGAAGGTATAAAAGCCGTCTGGGGGTCGGTCATATGAGTTACCGGGTGCGGGTGCTTGAAATTCCCAGTTGGAGGGAAGTTCGCATAACCTCACAAAGGCCTGAATTTCGGACTCACTAGCACCAAAGAACGGATTGGGTCGTGCTAGTGCGACGGCCTTGGGGGCTACGGCGACTTGAGGATTCACTAAGGGTGCGGTGTCTATGGTGATGTTCATTTGTCGAGCACGTAACTCAGAGGTAGGCAAGGGAATGCCGTGATGATGTTCATCATTCAGTGTGAGGAAATCGTCGCCCAATATCTGAGTCAAAGAGTCCCGGTGAGCATCCCCGTCAACTTCCTCACGATTTCTCCGGGGTGAGTTACGGTACGTGGTGGAATTAGACTCAGAGGACTCGGGGGTGGCGAGTGAGGTCGCGTTGTCACGAAGACCGGCATCTAAGGCATACATAACAAGGATGGTTATGAGGGGTGAGATTCTACGAAGCAACAAAGGGCCGTGAAATTCTATTTCTAAGGATTTTGGGCGATTTAGTTCGCGTTGCATGTGTACATAATAATAAAACAAAAATGTAGGGAGACGATGTTCGAGGGCGACAACTTACCCATGGTCTTCGGTGTCGTCAGTGGATGGTTAGAAGCACAGATGCTGCGCGGTACCGTCGAGGAGTGGCCGCCGGTACTTTGTTTAGTAGGGTGATGGGTAAGCTCAAGAGGTGTGCTAGGGGAGAGTGAGTCCTTTTTTTTATATATAGGAGTGGAGGGGGCTGATGGAAGGTCTTTTCAATTCCCACTATGGATTTCAAAATTCAAATTTTAAAATTGAAGGGTCCACATTTATGTGTGGCATTAACTCAATGTCAGATTGACAAGCCCAAGGGGACGCGCGGCTCGAGGCTGTCACTTTTGCATTTGAGTTCCAATATTTTATTTTCTTGTTGACCATGGGTGATCATCTTGTTCTTGCTGGTGTCCGTCGGAACCGCGTATAGCACAGTTCGGGTGGTACGTGAATTTTATTGCGTTAATTATCAAACGAGTCCGTCAGGCTTGGGAAGCTTCGGCTCTTTTGATAATGGGGGGGCTAGATGATATGGCATATAAGAATGGCACGGTTCACTTGGTAAATAGTCAGTCCGGTTCTTCATGAAATGGCTCGGCCCATATAGGAGGGTAGTTTGCTCGGCCCATGTATGAGGGTAGTTTGCTCGGCCCATCTGAATTGGAGGACATATGTGGCGATGAGGGTAGTTTGCTCGGCCCATCTGAATTGGAGGACATGAATTGGAGGACGCGGCCCAACAAGAGAATGGAGGACATGTGTGGGCTAAAGAAGGAATAGAACAAGACCAATCAGAAGGAGGAGGGAGGTAGCGTAGTGAAGAAGCTAATACACTAGGTATAAATAGGTGAATCACGAGGATGGTAAGGTATGACATTACAAACCCTATCTATCATACACGGCGCTCTTCTTGTAACCTTACTGACTTAAGCATTGGAGGTCTACCGCCGGGAAACATCCCGGCGTCCTTGCAGGTTTACGGAGGCTTAAGCAACGGAAGGACTCGAAGAGCCGGTTCAAGGTGCACAAGCACATCAAGTCATGTTTTGAATTTCCGAGGACGGAAATTTTGTAAGGAGGGAGGATTGTAATATCCCGAGATATTATCAGTATAAATTACGTTTAATTCCGATATAGTAACGTTATCGTTTATTATTTTCGGAATTAATTAAGTTCAGTCGGATTACCGAAATCTATTTTCGGCGTACCGTTTACGTCCGAAATAATTTTGGTAATTAAGTATTATGTTTAATTTATCAATTAAACATCATTTGAGTGATTAATTGGAATTAATCACCATCATTAGCCCTAATTGGTATAAATGCCGTGAGATTAAGGTGTCTTGGCCAAGTTTGAGTCTAAAACCGAAAGCTTCCTTAGGATTGAGGGAAAGAAATTGACCAATTAGAATTTGAAACTTGTCAAGAAAAGAGCAGGCTTAGTCATCATATTATCATCCCAAATTATAGCAAATGGCACAAGAAGAAGGTAGCCACGCCTTGGCTACCTCATCAACTCCTCTCACGGCTTTGCTATATAAAGCAAGTTTGGGGACGATTTTTGCCCACTTTTTCCTAAGGAAAATTCAGCTCCTATTTCTTCCTCCATCAGCTTCCATAGTTAAGTAAATTTCCTTAAATTTTCACCAAAATCGCACGACTAAAGGAGTACAATCGCACGGCGAGACAAACTTATCGCACGGCGAGTGCAAATCGAGGGAACACGCCTTATTCACCAAATTCAGTCGAGAGTTTCGAGAGGTACTGCTCTCCTCAGTCTCTATTCATGATGAATAGATCATTTTTGAGTTAATCGTTCGAGTTTTATGTGAAAAATCATGAGAAAGCCGTACTTAAGTCCATGTATGTTATCACCGAACAATTTTCGTTTTCTTCCGACAACTCTCGAACAATAATCCTCTAAATGATCAGTTTAGTTCATTGTAAGTTTAGTATGATCGAATTGTTGAGTAAGATTAAAGAACAGCCGATGAAATGGCCCCAGCCGGCGCCCCCGCGCCTATCGCGCGTAGCTTCGGGTAGCCAAGGGCCGAGGCTTGTTACTTACAGTATTTAGTGTAACTGTCCGTGTGATTAGTCCTTATATTGCTTCAGTTTAATATTCATGTTGAGGTGTTCGGTAGTTGTCGGATAATATATTGATTCGGCCGAGAGACGACGTGTAGCCGTCGGCGGCGTACGGGCGCTCGCAGCGGCCTCGTATGTTCAGTATGTGTTCGGTGTACTTTCAGGTCATATTCGATCAAT